CTAGATTGAATTGGGGTTTTAGCCAAAATAAAATATCAAAACAGATACAAACTATTCTTTAACATATCCTTGAAAATCCATAAGAACCATGACTCAGAGTCCTGTATACTTTAGCATGCTACTAAATTCAAGGAAGAGTTGTTATATAACCTGAAAAACATATTAAAAAAAAAAAAAAAAAAAAAAGACCTTTTCCATTAGCTTGCTTAAGCAGATAGAAGCAGATAGGATCAATCTAGCCCACTCTAAGACTAAACCAGTTAGAATATTAACAATGTGAGCAACTTCATTAGGAAGACACATGCATTTCCACTTAACTGAAACTGATTAAGACTGACAACTTTGTAAGTCACTGTAAACCATAAATCATAACTATACATATTCCTCTCTGTAGAATTTAACATTTACTGAGCATGGTATCATAGCAGAAACTTTAATATGCATTGTACAATACCTAGCACAACTCAGTCCTGATCCCTGACTGGGGAAGAGGTTGCACTCATTAAAAAAATAATAGAACATGAGAGTCTATCTCATAATATTTGTAGACAACTCCATGAGCTGTTCTCAAGTTAGAAGCTTTCTAGAGATCAAAGGTGCACAGGATATCAAAATTCCTGCCATACAACACAGGTTTAAAACACTAATCAACATTCTGAACATCAACATAAAGACACAAGAGCCAAACTATACCTTCCTAGCTCTCAAGCTGCTTGGTCTAAATTTGCTTTCAGGAATTATTGATCAAAACGTGGTTTGAGTTTGGTTTGGGTTGGTTTGGGTTTTCTTCAAGGAGTTTTTATTTTATTATTTTCCAGACACTCAAGACTGAATCTGAAATTTTATAAATAAATCTTTGTAGTCAATAAAATCTTCACTAAAGGGAGAGCAACATGAATTCAGAAAAAGGTGTACATAAAAAAAAAAAAAACACCTTCTCATTAATATTTTGCCTAGAACACTACTCATCTACAATTAACAACTTTTAAATTAAAAATTATTATGCACCATTTGTTCAGATTCTAATGGTACTTCAGAATCCAATGCAGCTTAAATAAATGTTGCATATACATCATTAAGCAAAAAAAAAAAAAAATCCACTGGATGTAAATCTCAAGATATGGATAAAATATGCTTTTATGATGATAGACTAGTCAGACATACTATACTCAAGCCAAAGTTATCTCAACAGAACATCCAAATGCTTTAGTATTAGACTTGAGGTTATAGCTTAGTTCACTATAAGGGCAATAATAACCCGTGTTTGTGAGATGTCATTAGAGAACCCAGTGGGATCATATGCTGTCGCAGTATTTTGTTTTATTACCTTTTAGCAGAGTACTATAAAAATATTTCATCAAAAATTACAAATATAATATTTACTAAGTAACAAAAACCAAATGAAAACCTATCAGAGAACTCACCCTGAACACTTGGTAGCTGAGAGACATAACCCAAACTTGCTAAGGTTATAGTTGCACCCTAGGGTCTATCCACAAGCAGTCAGTCCAAGATAATGGTTTTGATATTTTGAAAACCCAAAGTCCATGAAAACAGGTGGCATCAACAATCTTGAAACCCCAATGTTTCAAGGCAACACTTGGGAAAAAATAACTCAGAACAATTCCACTGGTTTTATAACATTATTTCTCTGTTAGAAACACAGTAGATCCTTCAAACTGCAGATGAGATTGTAGCCAAATTATTCTAGTTACTATAACACACAGTGTGCCTTTGTTCCAAAGAGCTTAAAATCATATGTCAAGACAGCACAGAAAGAGGAAAATAAAGTAATATGTCCTCACTTTAATGATGCAGAATTGAAACACAGGGAGTTCAATTGCACTACTTGGGTATTACACAGATCTTTGTGCACTGATACCTTCCTGCCCCAAACCTCCAGCCTAGCTCTCTTTTCTTTGAAGAAGACATTACTTGTAGGAGCTTCAGAAGGACTGTACTAGTGTAGGTTCCCACCTTAAAGAGCAAATAATAAAGACAGAAGAAGATATGAGTAGTCTAAACCAGGTAATTTAATAACTTTCCTCATTTGTGTTTTGAGATTTTGAGAGAGACTAATTAGGCTCTAAGAATCATGAAGGATTACAAGAGTATTTTGTGATGCTAAAAACTGGTATTACATAATTACTTAAAGTTTCAGGTTTTGAAATATAATTTCCTTAGCATGAATTTAATGGGAAAGTGAATAGGAAAATAAATGTAAAGTTCTAGCTCATGGTTCATTAAATCTTACGCTGAGCTCAAATCATTTTCCAAAAAGAAATGTCCATTACAGCACTACTTGTTAATTTAGCCACTGAAGTGATGTATTAAGAGCAACAACTCTGGGCAGAATGACACTAATTGCCTATACTGCAATAAAAGCACAAAAGTAATCCCAGCATAACACAACAAGGAGATATTAAGCATGTGTCGTGGTTTAGGCCTGATTGGCAGCCAAACACAATGCAACACCTCTCTCTCCCTTCCCCTCCGGCAATGAGAAGGGACACAGAGCCAGGCTTGGGGTTCAAGATAGGAATGGGATGGGGAAAAATTTCCCCTTTATGATCACGAGCAAGAGGCAGACTCGTTAAGGGAAGAAAAAAAACCATACATTTATTACAGACACTAACAACACATAACAGAGTAAGACATTGAGAAGCATTGCCACATCTTGAGAACACCTTCCCCCCACCCCTCCCTTCTTCCCGGGCTCAGCTCTGCTCCTGATATCTCTACCTCCTCCCCCAGTGGCGCAGGGGCAGGGAATGGGGGGTGCAGGCAGCACTGCCACTTGCTTCATCTTCGGTGAGAGAAGTGTCCGAAACTTGTTCCTCCTGCTCCATTGTGGTCCCCCCTCACAGGAGACAGTCCTCCACAAACTTTCTCTGACATGAATTCCTCCCATGGGCCGCAGCGTTCCCCACACTGCTCCGTCATGGGTCACTAACTTCCTCCGACTGGATTCCCTCCCACGGCTGCAGCCCTTCCCGAGCTGCTCCGGCGTGGGACTCCCCCGCATGCTGCAATCCTCCCAGCGCTGAATTACAGCAGCGGGGCTGCCTTTTCCCATGAGACCCCGGCCTTCTTCGGGCACAGAACCTTGATCAGATGAGCAGGAGCCACAGGCCGTAAATCAATGTCTGCTCCACCGTAGATCTTCATGGGTGGCAGGGGGGGCCGCCCTGCCGTCTCCCCACAGGATACAGGGGGGTCTCTGCTCTGGCACACCTCCCCCCTCCTTTCTTCCTCCATTCCTCCACTGACCTTGGTGTTCATGCAGCTGCAGCGACTCCTCCTCACAAGTCCCACTGACTGTCACCACGTCCCTTCTTAAATACGTTATCGCAGAGGCGCAGCCGATTGGCTCAATTTCCCAAACAGAAGTGGAGCTGACGTGGAGCTGGGGGAGCTTCGAGAAGCTTCTCACAGGGGGCCGCCCCGATAGCCCCCTCCCCTGCCACCAAAAAACTCCACCACTCACTCAACCCAGGACAGCATGGTGAAACAAAACTACTCTGTAATTTTTCTGCAGGATTTATTTTTTTGGATGTTCTTTCCTTGAGCACCTGATGATTTTTATGCACAGAGGAAATGATAAAAATCACACTGTGAAAATAACAGTGTCAGTCTGTGACAAATTCTGTGGCACTTCCACTCACCACATGTTCTCTGTAACACATAAGACTTTTTCCTTACACATATCAAGGACAAGCTTTCCATTTATTAGGAAAAAACATAACAATTCAAATAAACAAACAAACAAAAAAAACAAAACAAAAAAAAAAAAACAACAAACAAACAAACAAAAAAAACCCATGAGATTTCTGGCCTTTAAACTTCTCCTTTGTTTAGGGGGAATATATTCAGTTCACTTTATTCAATAGCCCATGGCCAGAAGAGCAACACATGTCCACATGCCAGGCCATAAAACATGACTGACTGCACTTCGGGGGCTACCTAAAATGCCACCACGCATTCACTTCTGTATCTCAGTGGACAAAAAATTAATTACTTGGGAATATAACATTGGTTCCCTTGCCTAAATTCTTTTAAGATATTTTCCATCCCTGTAACATCTAAGTTTGAAAACTTGCTTTTTCAGAGTTTGGCCTGTCAATAATTTGCCTCACCTAAGTAATGTCCTTCTCTGCTCCCTGATTTTTTTAGTGTTTTGGGGGATTTCCTCTTTGTTCTTTTAATTTGCTAAGTCTTTGTGTTTTATTCTTAAGTAGCCACCTTCTATATAACATAAGTTCATAGCCATAAAACTCCAAAGAGGCCATTTTCTGTTCAATTTAAATCAAATGAGCTGATACTTCATCTGATTTATTGGCAAATTCAAAAAATATTCATATATCCCACATCCTATCTATCCAACTAAATAAAGGTTTAAGGTACACTGACATATTTTCTCTCCTCGTATGTTTCAACTGGTATCCTTGCCTTCAGTCCACCTGGAAATGGTTTAGATTTTTCTGAATCACTTTTTGGTTTAAAGAGGAATTTTATTTGCCTCAGATGTAGCATTATTTTCCCTGATATCTACCATCTCTAAAGCAGTAAATTTAACTCTTCAATGACCTGTGATGGCTTTCATATTGATTTTAAAATACTTTACTACTCTAGATCTTCAACAAATTCTCACATTTGAGGTTACCTACGTTACTACCCCAGGCTGTGATCATGAATAACTTAGGGATTTTTGCTGAAATTACCTTCTTTTATGCCCACAATATGTTACACAACTGAACCTTTGAAACATCTCAGTTTTGCTTCCAAACATACCAGATCTTCTTGATTGTCACTTTGAAGCCATCCCTGTTCCTCTGGGCTCCATTCAAGTCATAATGAATCAACACCTGATCTTCTCATCCACAGGCTTTTAGCTTCTAATGATTTGCACGCTGCATTGCACTAAACTAAAATTTGCTAGTTAATGGAGATCTTTTCCTAGTTTGTAAATCCCCAAAGCATTTAGAAGGTTTAAAAATATTTAAAAGCATAATTAAAAGGAAAAGCAACCAATCGTGAGCTCTGCACCAACTTCAAAGGATGAGGAAATAAACCCTATTCTCCTAGGACAAAAATTTACATAACAATTTCTGGATATCCCCAAATTTAACAGTTAATGCAGAATCTTTTCTGACCAACAAGAATTTTCAGAGGTTCAAGCCAGATGTCTACTATAGCCGCACAAGCAGCTGAATAAAGGGTAAATATGAAGAGAAGGTTCAACTAAACCATATCTCGATGAAAATAGTGTGGTTCCAGCCACCTCTGAAGACTCAAGTCTCCAACTAGTAAATGAAGGCCCAGATTGGTATGTAAATACAGGAATTATTTGCTTATAATACACAGGTAGCTGACAAGAATAATTTTATTACGGCTTAAATTATGTTTTTACAGCAGACATTTATCAACAGTCCAATTATCTGAATACTATGTCAGGAAAAATGAAACAAAAAAGCAAAACAGAAACCAAAAACAACCCAACAAAATAAACTTTCAGAGGAAGCAAAGACAACATGGCAAGATGATTAGGAAAGTACTAATTTGCAGGAAATATTTTATCAACAAAAAGAGCAGTGACATTAGAAGGAGCAAGAACCTCATTAGTCACTAAGGAAAAGTTTTGCACAAAAAGACAAAGCCTCCACAACACTACAGAATGAGGTGCAATGAGGGTGGCCCCAGGTCTTTCACCATTCAGGTTGTTTCCTGTACCATATGGTCAAACATAATAATCTTCTTAACTGACTCTATTAAGAGAAGAGCTTAGAAAAGTAGAGAGCTGTCTGGCCTTATACAGAGAGTAGACTCCAGGTTCCCTCTCCAGATACCTCCCCTCCATAAGAGAGTTTCAGTAATAAAATAATTCTTTAGTTTATTTGTAGCAAAGCCTGATCCTTATAATTTTGCATACAGACACAGACATGTAAAACCTACTCATTATGTGTGACTCCTGCAAGTAGTAAGGAGAAGGGAGAGATAATTATTATGGTTCCTTTATTTTAACCATTGAAAATTCTTAGGTACCGTTAAGCAGTAAAACATGGAGAAAGAGATTTAAAGAAATACTAACCATAGAATAATACCACAAATCTTTATTCTTGGCAACTGTTCCATATGAATGATATGCCCATATTTCCACACAAGATACCTCAGAGCACTTCTGCTCTATGGTAAGGAAAAGGGAGACACTGCTCTGTGATTCTTGCCTTGTGGCAAGATGTGGTTTTGTCCCTCAGAACAAGATCAGTTTGCCCCAATTCTCATGCAGATGTTGGAAACTGAACTGATGAGCACTGGGAAATAGACATTTTATAAAATGAAAGAGCTACAATATCTTAGAGTTATTCCCAGAAGGTCAAAGCCTGCCTAGATTTCAAACATGCCCCTCTACAAATGCTTTAAGACAGCTGAAGGTCCTCATTCAACTTTCTTTCATCTATCCAAGAAGGCAGAGGTCACCCTTCTTCCAAATTTTAGTTCAAACTGTAAAGACCAACTCAATGTTGTGTGCAGCCAGACTCTGTCCTTGAAAACAGAGACAGAGCCAGTTTACCTCCTGAAGGGCTTGGCAGTTGAGGATTTTTATTCCTTACTTCATGTACTAACTTGTAAGCAACTAGCCAAAAGATGAGATTGAGTAATGTCTGCAGGCTGTGATGTTCTGGCATTCAAAACAAATCTGACAGATTTCAGACAGCTTCAAGGTCAGGAGTTCTGACTTTAAAAGGGCTGAGTTCTAAAAGTTCTACTGAAGCTTAATCGAGAATTTTGGTTTTGTCTATTTTAGGTATCATAGGATGTAATCTCATGAAAGTATTCATGCTAAAAACACCCAGGCAAATTCACATATATAAAAATTAGATAAACTCTATATGGTCTGAATTAGCAATCTGTTTATCTGTATTCATCTACAGTCATCATGCTGACTACAGCATTTGACAGTCTGAATATAAAAGTTAATAATCTGAAATTGTTATAGTCCAGAAAAAAGTCACAGGCAAGGATTTTATATCAGCCTGCAATGACAGAGAAAAGCCAAAACAGGTACACCAATTGTTGACTAGATTTTTTTAAAAATTACAAGGGAATGAGAAATAGCATGCATAATTGACTCAAGAATCTCCAACAGCCTTTCTGGTTTTTCCACTGAAATAAAATAGAAGTTCTAATTCACTCCTCTTTCCTATGTGACAAGGGTTCTAACAGATTTAAAATATAATGCAATCACTGTGGCTAAAATTATGTTCAAAATGGATGCGTCTATTCAGTTGAAAGTTCTATATTTAAGTCTAATGTGTTCTATGAGCAGTACATTGGGAATATATGACAACAAATTTATAAGTCTCTGTATTAGCTTATTCATTTTCATGTTAACACCATGTACACAGCAGAATTACAATTCCAAAATCACTTGGAATTTAATAAATAATAGCTATTAATATCATTGCCCTCAAAGTACATGGAATTCTTGTTATGATTCTTATATAATTAATGCAGTCTGATATGGTGAAAGTGTAAAAATGTCAAATCCAATGTATAAACAATATTGTGCCCTCAAGTTAGTCAGCAGCTCAAACACATGTTTTGGAACATGACTGGTCTGAGCCTACACATTTCTGTTTTTAGTATGTGTGATTCTATCAAATATGTTCAAAGTTAAATTTCTGGTTACGTTCTGTACTAGTAGCTATAAAAACTAATGACTGTACTGCAGGCTGGAATATTTGTGTCGTTTCTACCAGGATAAATCAAGAGTAATTTCACCATGGTGCCTAAGTACCTTCTCACTGAAATATCAACTAGTAAATTTTTAAGTAACAGACAAATCCAAAGCAAGACTTGATGGCTGGAAGGCACATGGCATTTATACTTTAGCTATTTTAGTAATGATATTCATTAACTAGTGTAACAAATGACCAAAGAATATGACAAATATACCTTTCTGAAATGTCTTCCTATTAAGCACAGACTGCTTTATACAGGTGTCAAAAGGTAAAACTCCACAATGCTAAGCAGACAGAGTCCTAAACTGACCCCTCCTCATTTGAAAACTCTCCAGTCAGAGGACTGACGCTTCGTGAATCCACATTTAATGAAGAAACACCGGGATGCACGGCACGTGCCTGCAGGACAGCTGTGTGCGTGTGATCCCCAAGGCAAGAATACGTCCAGGTGGCTCCTGAGGACACAAACTCTTTCTTTCCCACGCCAGTCAGGACTGCCTAACAGCAAAAGGCTTCATCAGCCCAGACTGCTAGTTCAGGTAAACTGGCATCATTTTATTGGGGTAAAATCACAGAGATTGTGGGCAGTGAATTTTTGGGGCTTCCTAAGAGGGTGTAGAAAAAGCCTCTTTTTTCATCACCCTTTCCAGCATCTCTATTTCCGTCCTCAGGTCTTAGTTTCATTTGGCTTTTCTGCTTTCAAAGATCACTGTGGTCTGAGCAGAACACCACTACCACCTTTTTGTTGCCAAATCTGAAAGACACAATATACAATGAGTATACTGTTATATTTCTCCTTGTTTATGGGAAGAATCAACTAGCTTGTTCCAAATTTTTTTCCTGAAAAACACGTCTTGAAAATGTTTTCTATCCTGTACGTTATGTCACTGATTTTAATTTTAAGGAAAGCTTATTACATAATTCAAATTCTCTGTATCATGTTGTGTTTAATAATATGGTCATGACTATGAAAATTATTAGAGTAGCAAAACCACAGTTCAAAACTTCTAGGGATGACTCAACAACAATATTAACATCAGAGAGATGATTGTGTTCTTGTCTCTCAATAAAAACCACAAGCATACACATCAATGAGGATTTAACACCAATGTTTTTAAAAGTCAAATCAGTTTAAATCAGTCTCTTTATTTACAAGTGACTTTTCCAGGCATCATAAATGAGTCAGTTCCCAGTGCTCCATTCCAGTTTCACAGACTTATCAGCATTTTATAACATTGCTCTGCCAAACTATCAGGGTTTGATCAACATGCAGCTTTGCAGATGTATAACATCACTGGGACCAGATATTTGGAAGGAAAATACCTGCTCTCTGCAGGTGTCAAGCCTATGTCTCTGAAAGAAAGATCTTCCAACCAAGTGCTCCTGATAGCAAAGCTGAAAGTACTTGACATTTTTTTCACATCTAGAGACACACAGGGAAAGGGCTGTAGGAAATCCCAGTTGTCCCAATCTAATTAACTTCTTGTCCTCCAGGCAAGAGAAAATCTGATTAATTTGTTTCTGTGTGAACATTAGAACATTTATCCAGAGCTCACTTAAAGTGAGGTGAAGTTTTCCACAATACTATGAACTCTGGATCAGATTCTATTAAAAAGTCTCTCTAAGTGGGTAGCATCACTTTATAAAATATTTTCGTGTCCTTAGGTTTCTCACCATGGTCCAGATATGGCATTATCGAATGACTGACTAACGGTGAAATGTTAAGTGATGTATTTTCAGGTATGTAGCAAATCAATAATATCTATGTCTTTAAAACATATTTTTATACATGCATGTATATATTTAAAGCTATACCACAGACTCTTTTTTATTAATTTCAAATGTATAATGTAACTTTAATGAAGCATGCATTTTTCTCCATGATTTATCAATAGTTAAAGCAGCAAGGAGAAATAAATTTATTTTAGGGATAAAACATTGAAAAATGTGTTCATCTAATGGATACCATTAAAATAATAGAGTCATAGAATCTTTTCATTTGGAAAAGATCCTTAACATCATCAAGTCCAGGAATATTCTTTCTTCTTTCATGAAGACAGGTTTATGTTAAGGGAGTTTCCGGACTGTCAAAAGTGACCAACTTGTTTTCAAATGAGGAAGGCTTGAAACCAAAGGTCACCAAAATCATTCATCCACTTAGTGGCATCCTTTTGGGCTAGCAGGCTGGGCGTATAGAGACATCCAAGAGCAACAGAAGATATTGTCTTTAATACTTTGGCTACTAGCTTCCCTTTTCCCACTGCTGCAGATTCAGATTAGGCACTACCCTCTATGCCCACAGACCCTCAGCATCAACAAATGACACATGCAGCACGGGATCCATGCTTGAACTACTGCAATTCAGGTAGAGTGCTACAGGCTGGTTAATCTCCATTTTGACAACACATCTGCAAATGTTAGCTTGTCCCTTTGGGCCATTTCATTTGTTAATTTAGTTTTGATGCGGGTGGACAGATGAGCATTTGATATAAGTAACAGCTTTGAGCCATGAAATTCAGATCTAGACTTCTCAAGGTGTAGAAAATTGGTGGTAAGATTCACTTTCTGATATAAACATGTCTTTAAATATAAACTATTCAGACTGGATCTATGATTTTTCCAAGATGCCAGAGTTCAATACTTTCTGACCAGGTTCTTCTAGGTATTCCATGTGTGGAGGGTGTAATGTTTAATATCACATTTACCTATTTGATTGTATCTGATGTTACACAGGATTTTTGATTTAGCAGTGTGGTACTTCAATATACTGAAATCACAATAAAAGTGTAAGTTAGCAAAATACAGCAGTTGCAATACACAGTTCAATCACAGTACCAACATGAACCCTGTTACCAGTCTCTATAATATGCTCACCATCACAACACTAAGTGTCCCCAGGAAGGAGTACATGGGGACATGTATTAAAGCAGCTCAAGTCCATTTCTCTCTTCAAAATGCTTTTGTTTAGTTTTATACTCTGTTGGACTGATCCATATATACATGTACACCACCAGTTGAGCCACTCAACTGTGATGCAGTCATTTGATCCACTCAACTGACATAGCTGTTTATCTAAAATAAAGGCCACCCTCTGGTCCCCTTTGTGTTGAGATAAAGTCAGGTTAATTTGCAAAGCCATGGTGAGTCACACCCTACATTATTCTGAGGTTTATGGACACATCGCCCTCACCCATCTCCTCTCAGGCTTCCTCCATTGCAGGGGTTTCTTGATCAATCACACAAGACAAGTCTCTGATACTCAACTTGCAATGTTAAGCTTGACAGTCCTTCCAAATAGGTGACAGATTTTAGATGCACACCAATGTATTACAGCACACTGCCAGAAAGCCTAGCCTACCTGCACAGTATATAAATCTGTAAGGAACAAAACAGTGCTTTTAAATAATGGGTGGTACTTATTCAAGAGTGACTGTAAACATCAACTTTTATTTGTCTACAGAAGACCGCTATCAATAATTGCTGTATTTTACAGACCTACAGTACTCTCTAAAGCTCTGCAATTCAGCATCTCATTCATCTCAGATGGGTGTCAGGAGAGCTTTCAAAGGTCTGAAATGCCCCTCTGCAAATGTTGATACTTACTTGTCCAGATGCACAGATGGCCATTTACTGAAACCAAATTATTATGTACATTTTCATTAATTTTTGTGATGTTGTTAGGGAAAATTGTAGCATTTTCTAATGGACTGGATGATCACCCCTTGGGGCAAACCTCTTTGCCTTTCTGCAGTAATTAAAAGCAATAGAGTTTCCAAACCTGCCCACAGTGATTATTTAAAAAAAAAAAATAAAATTAAAAAATATTCAAGGTTTGTTTAGAATCTGTTAAATCTCCAACTTGCACTCAACTTACAAAAACATGACAGAAATCAATCTTATATATATTCTCTATATTCTCTTTAGTATTAGCCTTTGACATAGAGCTGATAAACGTGGAGTAGCCAAGGGGAACTGAAATCACTGTCTCCTTCTATAATAAAATAAATTTTCCAGTGTTTTTTATATAGGTCGAGGAAAGTAATTCACTTATATGTTACAATAATATTTTGCTGGCACAAAGGAATGTGTTAACTGTTGCATCTTTGAAGATCAGATTTCCCTGAGACTTACAGTCACACAGAAGAAAACATCATAGATGACTTCCTCCTTCTAAAGACACAGTATAAGACAACATTGATTTTTCTTAATCAACTACCTATGCAGATAGGATTTTGTGTCAACAAGATACACAGAAAGTGGATTTAAAAAGGCTTACATGAATTAATTTGAAAGTGTTTCAGTTAAAACGAAAACCTTTCTTTTTCCCCCTTTCCCACACTGACATCTCTGCTCTCAGGATCTTGCCCTGCAGTAAACATCTGCAACATTGCAATATTTTTGTGAACACTGTATCATGTGGCAGAAACATCATTGTTGGATTAGGGAACCTTGCATAAGTATCAGTATTTTTTATATTATGATATATAGCTGTAGTAACATCTAGAAATACCAATCATGATTGAAGTTCTACTGCACTCAAAGTTCTTGGCAGTCTGTGCACAACCTATAAGAGACAATCACAGTTGTGAAGAATTTAGAATAACAATTAAAATATTATCATTCCCATTTATATGTGGGAAATAAAGACTAGGAATTAGGTGGCATAAAGAAGAAAGGCATGTTCAAATAGGATTCCTGTGAATTAAGGTGGTTTGGCCTCAGTTTGTGCTTAAGTGCTTCAGTTGATGTCATTTGGTAATTTGTGGCTAAGTCAAATAGAGGACCCAGATTGTCCACAACTCAGTCATACTAGATGTTTTGAGACGACAGTCACCCCTCATGATTTCAGTCATGTTAACTGCAGGAAGTCAGGGACGCCTCACCAGGTGTCCAAATATTCTGCAAGGGCTATTCTTTAAGTGCTTCTGCATCTTCACCCCTACTACTCTTTCTCTCCATGTTACAGAATGGCATCCAGAGGGATCTCCATTAATACACTACAAATGCTATGACTGAAAACTGCCTTTCTCTTCCAGGAGGACCATAAGAAGAGGCCAAGATAATACAGTATGCTCATTCAAAAGTAAAAAAAAAAATGCAAACATAGAATGTTCCTTTGAAGGCTTTGTAAGACAACCTCATTTGGCAATTGTCATCTTCATAGATTTGACAGGCATCTTGTGTATTTTGGGAGTGTTTTTTTTTTTTCCCCACAACTATCATTTTGTTGCCAGAGAGCATTTATTTCTTGCTGGTTCAACTATTTTGGAGAATTCTAATCTCAAAAGCAACACAAGCAATTGCAGGACAGTTTTTCCCTAAGTACCCAGCCAATTTGTTTTAGATTCCTTTTAAAATCACTATTTCAGAGGTAGAAGGATAGTTAATTCTTCATGTGTGCTATTCTATTGACACAATCAACAGGGGATAATTACTGTGAACTGAGTCAGTATTTTTCAATAATATTTGCCGGCGAGGAATTCTGCTGAGACCCATTCACTCATTTCACACAGACAGGCGAAGCCCAAACTGTAACAATATCCACTCACTAGAAAACCAGGTTTAAATTTACTAGTGCTGGCAGGGACTGTAGTCTCCCTGCTGAAAGTGATTGACGTGACATAAGCACATAAGGTCACAAGATCTCATTATTTCAGATCAATGAAGTGTTTCTTCACCCCACATATTCATACTGTGGCTGTATGCAACCCTACAAAGTACATCAGTTCAACTGATTAATGTACTATTAATCTTCTGAGCCATTTTAACAACTTCTTAAGTGTGTATATTTTCAGTGAAAACATGAAGACTTGTAAGTGAATGGCAAAGTCTTCTAGATTGGCAATGCCTTTACAAAATATTCCATTCAAATACTGGTAAATATAATTACAAGGTAAGTGATTTTTCTGTATCCCTGCAATACAGGTGTGTCAGCCTGCAACACTAATGTCAGCCCTTCAGGCAGCAAGAGGATGCTGGTAATGACCAGCTGAAGTTGAAGCTTTCAATCTGTGTCTGTGCCTTTCATCACAGAAGACATCATGGAGAGCTAACCTAGAAAATATATATAACATAATCAACTCTACAAGCAGTAATTCAAACCACTTCTAAAAATGAATAATGTACATCAGACATAACCAAGCAGTAGGAAATTTAGGAATTGGAACTTGCTGTCAGGAATTAGTATTAGGAAACAAGCAAAAGTACTCAGAGTCATGCTCAATGTTCTGTCAGCTGAAGAAAAGATACATTCTGTTTCTAAAAACCTTTAAGGAAATTGCATTCCTATTTACTATAATTAACAGAATTTGAAAAATTGTAATTATCATATTTTCCAGTGCCAAAACCAAGTCCAGTTAACCTCAAGTTCAACAATCATCCTTCTGTCTGAAAGCTACCAGTGGTTTAATTTTTTCAAATCAGTTTATATACATGTATCTAAATAATTCTACTGAATAAACACTATTAAGATGTGACATTACAGTAATCATTTGCATTTCTTGAGTCTTATTTGCATTTGTATGAGAACAATAAGTAATGAGAAGGTGTTGAAACAGACTTTGTTTATGTTAAAGCAGATTTTGCCTATGCTAAATTCAGCTCTCTGCAGCTATACCTTAGCTAACAGTAACAGGCTATCTTCTCAGAATTGTGGAGGTTGGAAGGGACCACCAGAGGCCATCTTCATCCAACCCCCATGCTCAAAAATAGAGACCAAGATTAATATGACCAGGACCATGTGCAAACACCTTTGAATATCTCCAAAGATGGAGTGTTTGAGTTTTGTTTGTTTTTACCCACATCTTAGTTACAGACATATAGTTTGAGAACATGTGAATATAGACCATCATCTTCCAAATGCATATTAAAACATCCCAAAACAGAATTGCACGACTTGGTCCGATGTGGCTGGCCAAAGATAGGCCTGCTTGATCCTTCATCAAAATTAACTGATTATGAATATGGCTTTTGCAGTATCAAGTGTAGAATATCTCGTGATAGGTAAAATCAGTCTGGAAGAAAACATATCCTATGCAAGCATGCATCTAAAAAAAATAAGTGGTCCCAATGTTTTCTGAGATTCAAAAATTCCTTTCAAGGAAATTTACCAGTCTGACAGTATATGGTATCACAGCTCACAGATATGAGTAACAGCACAATATTACAAAACTGTTTTCACCCATTTCTCTATGCTGTCCTGCATGGATTTTGGTCCAGCCACCCTTTTCCTCTGCATCCACGTCCCATCTCTCTCAGTGTCTATCCTAGGTTGGTGCAGGGCTCACTCAACATCTTCATTTCAGGAGCTGAGAGGAAGAGGAGGTGGAGCAAACCACACTTCTTCATCCAGCAGCCGTCTTCCTGCCCCAGGAAAGATCCAGGGTAGGGCATGTGGCTACCCGTCTAGTGAAGGATCAGGGGATCTGCAGAGCTGGAGGAGAAGGGCTGGGGGAAGAAGCTGAGAGGCAGCAGAATTCCTGACGAGAGGGTGGAGAAAGGGCAGGCTCCCAGCAGCACCTTTCGCTGCAATCTCCATCTTGAAAACAAGTTCCCAAAATTAATACCAGGCTTCCAGCTACAGGGGATGAGTTAAATGAGAGAAGAAATCCTAACAATAACCTCATTCATAGCCCTCTACCCCTATAGATTCCTCATCCAAAGAGGCATAATGGTACTGTGACACTTGGTGTGGATTTTAACATCAATATAACATCAGATTCAAATGGGCTTGCTTTGTGTCATCTTCTACTTCCTCCATGGCAGAAATAAAACTGCTAGAAGATATTGAAAGGATTATTCAGGTGCTGTTACTACTCCTGCTGAAATCAGAATTTTCAGAACTTTCTAATTCATGGCTGCAGTTTGACAAATGCATTCCTTATTTCAGTTTATGTGCACAGTCAGAATTGAAGCAAACTGACAAAATTTGGTTTTTTTGAAATTTGTTATTAAACCTAAAGCTTAATAAATAAGTTTTGGTTTTGGTCTAAATATTTTGTGACCGTTTCTATTTATTCTATTATTTATGAAAACAAAATAAACAGTAAACAAAAGAAACACTGGGAAAAAAAAAAAAAAAGCAATATTTCCACTTCTTCCTATGCTTTATCAATGTCACTCACAGATATTGTTCAGTTGAATAAATTGGCTTTCCCAAGGGGGAAGGGGAAGACACAAAACAGCTGCTAGGAATCTGTGATAGCAACATTCACTAATTTATAAAAAAATGATAAAAACATGTAAATAACATCTTTTATTTATATTCTCTACTAGAATTCAGCAATATTTCACTGACATGGGACCTGCCTCAGGAATGGACACTACTTCAGCAAAACACTTCTAACTTGTTTTTTTTTTCACAAGCTTAAATAAAGGTTTTATTGAATAAAATTTCAGTAACTTTCCATTTGAAGTTACACAGTAAATTTCACTGAAGGAGTAAAGTTCAATACCACACACTTGTATTTTGGTTTGATTTTCCTTCTGGATATACTGAGCTTCTAAAACATTAAACAATCATAAACTCAAATCTTCATTCTATCACTTCATCTTCTCCCACCTTCAAGACAGAGACAGAACAATAATTCAATTTGATGACATTTTTAAAATAATATGTTTAACAGTACAAAGTATCTCTTAAATGATTTAGGAATTCTTAAGCGGCAAAATGGTCTTTTCACTTTTTATCTAGTTGTGATAAATTAAATGCTGATTTTGCAGGGAGGAAAAAAAAAAATAAGACCAATGTCACTTAATACAGACCTTCTTTCAGGCACGTATGAGTAGGCTCAGTACCAACCTAATTAAAAACAAGGTAGAAACA